TTTTTGTTTTTTATAATAAAACCTTATTTTTGATGCCAGCACCAAAATAATAAACAAACAAACAAATAAATAATGGTGTAAGCTGATGACAGGTCAGTAACCTCACAGGTGCTGAGTGTTTCTAAGGTAAAGATGGGGAGGATGTATGTTAAATTATAAATGCATGAATGAAATCTACAGGTTTTGTAAACAAAATAATAAGATATTATTTATTGCAGCAAGACAAAGTGACAAACCACATCCCAAAACCTTTCAAGTAGTATTAGCAACTATTAATTAATGACTGCTTAAATTTATTTCTCTCTTACCACTACAAATGCCGGAGCTACAGTGGAAGGAGGGGCGTCTGAGACTCTTCTGCAGATAAAGGACACTGTTCAAAGAAAAGACCAAGTTAAACCATGTGTGCAGGAAAGTATTTGACATGTAAAGTTGGGCAGTACCTTGGATATAGCGTGACTACAGCAGAAAGACAATAGCTTGGTTCTCACCTGTATTTTTCTTAGCTTTGGGTCGGGATAATAAAGTTTAGAATTACAAACCTTGGCACACAATTCTTCATTATTCTAACTTAAAATGCTGTCAAGTGGAAAAGAAAATTTTAAAGGGACACTATGCATTCCTGTGAAAAACTTACTACATCCCATGATTCAGTAGTTTGTAGTTCCACCTTTAGTATTTATTTATTTATATGAGTCTTTCACATAGCTGTGGGTGAATTTTGACTTTCCTTTAAGTGCTGCCACAGCAATTCAAGCAGGTTGAGCTCTCAACTTGGATTGGTCCACTAAAACACCATGAATTTTTCTCTTTTTCAACCATTCTGTTAAAACTTTGCAGGCATACTTCATGCCAAGAGATGAGACGTAGCTCTTTGTTTGGTGCAGTTTCGTTGCAGAGCATTGCAGAGGCTGACCTCGTGTGAATTTTCTGGGCTGTCCACTCCTGATGGTTATCCACTTGTGACTAAAACCCTCTCAAAATAAAATGATGAACTTCAGATAGTTTTGAAAAGGCCTTATGACCGTTTCCACATTGATGGGCAGCAACAGTTGCTTCTCTAAGATCAGTGCTAATGTGTTTTCTTCTTGGACTGTGTTAATATGCATCTAAATGCTCCAAACCAGCAAACTACCATAACTTCTGCTTTTATAGGGATGCTCACGCTTGCTGATGATTAGCATTAGCAAATACATTTGATTAGCAGCAGCTGGCTGCTCATAACCCTCCTTTTAGGAGGTTCATCTTTTTTTTACATGTTGTGATACATAAAACCTTAGAACTGAAAGAGACTCTTTTTACCATGACTGTAAAGAGAACTATAGGTCACGTGGAATACTTGTATACTGTGGTCAGTATGAGCCAAATTAACTACATCATCTTACCAGGCCACACTGCTCCTCTCTGCAGCAGGTTTCTCCCAGTTCTCACTGCAGCACACTGAGATCTTCTGGTGTGACATGTGGATAAAGGCAGTGCTTGACTGACCAGTGAATTCAAGCAGACATCACTGTAGTTCCTGCTGAATGATCCCAGTCTTACATTTCCCTGTGGCACAGAGTGTCCCGTTGGACAGAACTCTGCAGGTCTGCTATAATAGCTGAGGGTTCTTGTCCCACCAAGTCGTGAGGAAAAAGGACCCAGAGAGTTTAAAAACCGCTTTGGATGAAAGTTCGCACAGCCGGCCAGCAGCAACTTGTGCATTTTGATCTCCACACCAACGCAACACAAAGCCTTTACGCAGACTGCCATACTGGCGCTGGAGAGCTGATGTTCACCACAGGGAAGGGATTATAACAGGCACAGCAGCAGGGAAGGGAGGAGGAGGAAATTAAGACACGCTTTAACTTCCATAAGCAAAGAAAGCTGCAAGCACCAAGTGTTTACAATCCTCTCATTAGTGGTCCCTCGGTGCCCTCCAGATGTTTGCCAAGCTATGTGTTAGACGAGACAGTCCTGACCCACAGGTACAACGAGAGTGAAAACTCCCGTTACAGTAACTTCACAGTACACATAAGTATCTCTCACGCGCACATTGCCTCGCTTTCACCTGGTTTTATAACTTTCTTCAACTTTGTCTCGCGGCTGTTTGTTATGCTAACTATCTTAGCTG